TTTCTGATGTTCTGTCTGTGCTCAATGTCCCTTAGTCTTTCCTTTGAAGAACTTGTCTTGGTTAGGATTTCTAGCCTTGTGATAACCTGCATGACCAACAGTAACTTGGGGAGGAAAGGGTTTATTTCAGCTTTCAACTTCATCACATTCCATCACTGAGAGAATTTAGGCCAAGAACTCAAGGCAGGAACCTGAAGGTAGGAAATGACCCAGAAACCATGGAGGAATGCCGTGTACTGGCTTGCTCCTTGTAGCTTGCTCAGTTTGCCTCACCTTCCCCCACCACGTATAGCTCTGGCTGCCTTAGAACTCACTATGTAGACCAGGCTACCCTCAAACTCACTGCCTCTGCCTCCTGAGTCCTGGACTAAAGGCATGTGGCATTACTGCTCTATTACAGCTCATCAGTTTCCTTTCTTACACACTCTGGGTCTGGAGTGACATAGCCCACAGTGGGCTGGGCCCTCCCCCATTAGCCACTAATTAAAATACCACACAGGCTTGCCTGAGGCCAAGCTTCTAGATTGTTCCCTCGCCTCAGATGACACTGGCTTATGTCAGTTTGACAAACACACGAACCACCAGACAGAACTGTTGTCACGCATGACATCTTTCTGATGAAATCTTTATTTCTCTTTAATTCTTGTAAGAATTCAGCCCTAAAATGCTAGGTTAGTGCTAGAGAGATTTCATTCCATTTGTGATAGTCTTTATCTTTGTCTCTCATTCCTTGTTATTTTTTTAAACTTTTTATTACAGTGTGTGTGTGTGTGTGTGTGTGTGTGTGTGTGTGTTTCTGTATATGTGCGCACGCACATGCATATGGAGATCAAAGGAAAGTATGTGAGAGTCAGTTCTCTTTCACCATGTGGGTACTGGGGATTGATCTCACGTCATCAGGCTAAGCCTTTTCCTGGCCCTGGTCAAATTCTAATGTTTGGAAGATATATATATATATATATAGATAGATAGATAGATAGATAGATAGATAGATAGATAGATAGATAGATAGATATAGATATAGATATAATATTTTTTTTTCTTTTGGGCTGGAGAGATGACTCAAAGGTTAAGAGCACTGTCTACTGTTCCAGAGGTACTAAGTCCTATTCTCAGCAACCACATGGTGACTCCCAACCATCTGTAATGAGATCTGGTGCCCTCTTCTGGCATGCAGGCAGAACACTGTATATATAATAAATAAATAACATCTTTTTAAAAAAATCTTTGATTTTATTATCATGTGTCTGTGTGTGGATTGCTTTTTACCTAACATTCTTGGGATTTGTTGACATTTTAAATTTAGATTCATGTCTTTTACTACTTTCTGAAAATTTTAGTGATTACGTTTTTATATTTTATAAATACTTCTGTTTTTGCATCTCTAATTGTATATTCAGAGACTGTTTTCCCTGTCTTTTACTCTACCTGTCTGCCTTTCTATCTCGATATCACACTCTGAATAGTCTGATGTGGTTCTCATTTCTGGAAGGTCTTTTTACTTTTTAGCTTTTTACTCCCTGTTGATACTTTGAGTTTTGTTCTTTAGTTTTAAAACATGGTGAACATTTTTTGTTGTCTATATCTGACCATTTCAGTGCCTTATATTTTTGAGAATAGTTTTGAGAGTCCTAGGATGGATTCCATTTTTTGGTTTTGGTTTTTTGTTTGTTTTGGTTTGTTTTTTTGAGACAGGGTTTCTCTGTGTAGCCCTGACTGCCCTAGACTTGCTTTGTAGACCAGGCTGTCCTCGAACTGAAGAACTCACAGCGATCTGCCTGCCTCTGCCTCTCTGAGTCCTGGGATTAAGGAATGTGAGGATACCTTTCTTAAGAGAAGATTTTTATTGCTTGTGTATGATGCCTTAAAAAGGGACTCCTGCCAGTGAGGATAAGGTCCCATCTAGCCAAGCTCAGGCAGGGCCTGTTAATGTCTTCGTCCTCCAGAAAGTTCAGCACTAGACTAACAGTTTTTTTACCTTTGCCTAAAGGTACAGATTTGAAGATGGCTTGATATGAGATTTCTCCATTTTTTAGGTTCTTCTCCTTCCTTTGGCCCAAAAAGCTACTAACAGAACAGCTGAATTTCACATCTGATTTTTTTCTGACAGGGATTACAAGGGTAGTGTAGGTATCTGAATACCATTACATAATATTAATAGGGTATAACTCTAATACAGTTATTAACACTAAGAAATCAACATTGCTACAGCACTCATTGTCAACTAGAGACGTTTGAATTCTGTCAGTTTGATCACTACTCTCCCTTTTCTCTTCCAGGATCCACGTTACATTTAGTCTTGTTACGTATTCTCTCCAGTGACAGTCCCTTCGTCTTTATCTTTCATGACTTGACACATAGACGTTGTTTAAATTTAAAAAAGTGTTGGGCTATGTAATGTTTATTAGCAGCCCTGAGATTATCACGGTGGTATTAGTTGACCTGCTGTCACAAAGAATAAGGCACAGACACCTGTTAGATTTTACAGTTGCTTCATTTACCTTGGGATGGGCTGATGTTTCACCTACACTGTCTCAATAACCTCACCATCTATCTCCTGCCCCATCCAATGCCATCTGTCTTAATCATCCTCATCTGATTTACCTTCCATCCAAAAATCCCAAGATGCTTGCTCGTATTCTTCATCAGGGTCTTTTCACACCATTATTGGAGTCCTTCCTTGCAGCCCACGTGGTTCCTTCTCCGCACTCACCTATCATGGCATCCTCCTTCCTCCTCTCTTCCTGTCCATCTATCTCCCATGATGCTCCTGTCCTCTAAAGTTCATGAACCTTAGCGACACCTTTCCCATTCTGCCCGCCCAGGTATAGGCCTTTAACTAACCAATCAGGTATAATGTCTTAGGCAGGTTTACCAAACAAGAATAGGTGTAACCAGAGCTTGAGGGCCAGCAAAACACACCAGACCAACCTCCAACACATAGGAATTGAAGTTATTTTGAAGAACATAGAGGGAACTGATATTCCTTCTCAAAGCATCATTTTGAAATTGATGTTGACATGCCTTGTACTGGCAATGTTACCACTCATCGCTTAGTTAAGATGGCATCTCCTATTTGTCCCTGTATATTAGGGTTCCAGTTTTTCCCTCTGTGATCTGTTACGCTTATGAGGAGGGATGATACTTTGAGATGATGCACAGATACTTCTTTTCTCCTTAATTTCTGTCAGCGGGTCTTGCCTGATGTGAATATTATTAGGGCGTCATGGTGATTTTCTCACCTTTCTATGTTTATTAGTGGTGATCCTTCCATAAGGGAAAGTTGTCTTCTTGGTGGCTTGTTAGTTCAGTTACCTCTTTCCAAATGAACTGTGGATATTTTATTCCTTGGGTCATGGTGTCATATATATATCTATTTTTTTTTTAATTTTTTTTTTTTCCTCACATTGTTCTTGTTTCTGCCACTGGGGCTCTTTCAGGTTTTCTTGGTGTAGATTATTATCCAGGCTCATCTTGCCCAGCCTCGGAGTCACCCATTTTTTCCAAAGAGCTTATTTTCTTTTATTTAAGAATGATAGTTAAAACCAAGATTTTGACCCTAAATAAAAGCCAGGATCTGGACCTAAGATATGGTTGTTGTGTCTAGACCCTCTCAGCAGGCAGAACAAGGAAAGTTTAATACTCTGGCCTTCTTTATAATATTTGTAATCATTATGTTCTCAAACTGAAATAATTGCTTCAGTAAAATTCTAAATACTCTGTATCATGTGGATTTTTTTGAATGTTGTGAGTACAAAGGGCTGCAAGCCTGGTATAGTAGCACATACCTGTTTCTAGCACTCAGGAGACTCAGAGGCAGGAGAATCATCAATCTGATCTATATACTAAGACCCTATTTCAAAAAATAGATAAACTATCTGTTACTATAATTTCTACAGAATTCTGAGTATTCTAGAGGTACCTTAAGAAGTAAATTTTAGCCAGGCATGGTGGCACATGCCTTTAATCCCAGCACTGAGAGGCAGAGGCAGGTAGGTCTCTGTAGTTCAAGGCCAGCCTGGTCTATAGACTGAGTTCCAGAACAGTCAGGGCTATGGAGAGAAACCCTGTCTCAAAACAACAATAACAACCAAAAAAAAAATTGTTGTTATTATTTTATTTTTTAGCTTTTAAAAGAAGGATTTATTTGACAAGGTTTACTTAGCGCAATACACTTAAAAGAAAATGACAATACAATGAAAGACTTAAATCATGGCCTCAGAATTTCGTACAAACACCAAGACCAAAAATCCTAAAGTAATGGTATTGCATCTCAAAATTTCTCCATTAACTTAAAAAAAAAAAAAAAAGCTTTAAACTTATGTGCCTTACAGGTTACCAAATGAACTTAGAATTAACAAAATGCCAAATGTCTTACTTTTAATTGTAGACACAGCTCCCGTATTGAGTTTTACAAAACGGCATGTCTTTTCAACATGCATCAACAGTGTTCAATGTAATGTATGTATAAGAGGAACATTTAACATAATTCACCTGCTTTAACCTAAATACACATACTGCTTACACACATCCTACAGTAACTAGAGAAACGCTGGGAATTGTTAAGTTACAGCTAGCTCAACTTTGCCCTATCATCCTAGGTGACTGCCATGTTCAACATTGAACCTCAGTTCTTTGAGCGATGCCAATATTCACTAGGCTAAACTGCAAAAACTGTTAAACTGAAGGTTTTTTTTTTTTATTAAAAAAAAATTGGCCAAGAGTTGGTGATCAAAGTCAATTCCATTCCCCATCCACCACTCATACTGGACATGCTAGACACCCCTCCCATCCCACTCACTCCCACAGCTGCACGGCTTCTGCTACTGTAGTAGCTGCTGTTCACTGCTCCCATTACCGCTCATGCTGCTCTGGCCACCAAAGCCACCTCCATAACTACCACTCAGCTGCTGGCTTGCTGGGCCTCCATACCTGGACTGGCTTGACAAGCCCATGCCTCCCATCATTTGGCTACCATAAGCACCACCGCTTGCTCCCGCTGTAGAATTCAAGAAGAGCTCTACGTATCTGTGTTGCATATTTACTTTGTCTTTTGACATAGCTGCAACAGCATCTTCATGGGTTGCAAACTCAACATCTGCTTCACCAGTTTCTCTGCCATCAGGTCCAGTCTCAGTGTGTACTCTCACAGGTTGAGTGGTGAAAAAAATTATGAATGTCGTTCTCGGTAGCTCTGCATGGTAATCCCTGCATAAGTACACAGTGTCCTCTTGTACTGTGGAAAGTAGATCCACCATCTCCATATCTGTGGTCAGACAAAAATTGTTTTAAGAGTTTGAAAATCAAGTATGATTATTTCTGATTTCATCATTTGCTTATTTGTGGATTCGGTATTTTATGTTTTGATAATGTAAAACAAGTCATGTTTTTATGTAAATTTTAAGTGACAGCACATTTGCATGAAAATCTCTTTTCCACAGGTCTTAATTTGCAGAGTCAGTTTAACCTGGAAAACGTCACTGTTTTCAATACAAATGAACAGGAAAGCACCTTGGGTCAGAAGGTAAGGCTGATAACAATTCTTCTTACAGACCACTCTTAGCTTTTGTTAAAATGGTTGATTTAAATGGGGCCTTTAAATCATCAAAAATGTGAAGACTTTTAACTTGATCTGTAAAGAATTTCTTAGTGTGTGCACGCACAGGCATATGTGCACACGGGGAGGGAGCAGTGTGGGATCAGAGAGCTCTGTGGAACTGCCTTGTCCCTCCTCCTCTGTGTGAAATACAGCAGTTGATTTTACCTGCCAAGCGATCTCATTTGGTCCTTCATTTTTAATAGATAGAAATAATAGGCCTTCTGTGTAAACATTTAAAACAGTATCATAATACAATGTATGGGGACTGTAATCAAAGTTGGATTATGTTGTTACTGAGTAGCTTGTCCTCTGTGTAAGCGGGTGTTAAAGAAGCCATGATTGGCTCTTCCTGGCTATCATATGGTAATTACAGAGGGAAAGATTTTCCACTTTGAACATTATTCATGATGTTTCTTTGTTTTTGTATTATTTTATAGTATTTCTATAACTACTACTAGTATTCTCCATCTAATCTTACAATACTTTTTGAGTGCTTGTTCAAATTATTTTTTTTTCCCAAATAAGATGACATATATAGCTTTTAAGTTCATTTTTTTCTTTAAACTGATATGTTTGAGTTTAATTACAGTTAGATTCCAGTGTACCACTATTGTCAGTAGACATTTAAATCATCCTTTTTTTATTGTTTTAGTCTTTTGTTTGTTTGTTTGTTTTGTTTTGTTTTTCTTCAAGACATGGTTTCTTTGTGTAGCCTTGGCTGTCTTGGACTCACACAGATCTGCCTGCCTCTGCTTCCCCAAGTGCTGGGATTACAAGCCTGTGCCACCTTGCCCAGCTCTTTGTTTTGTTTTGTTTTTTCCATTTTAAGCTTGGGTCTCACACAGCCCAAATTGATCTTAAACTCGATGTATAGCTGAAAATGACCTTAGCCTTTGATCCTACTGCCTTCATCTCCCAGATGCTGGGAGATGTCACTCTGCCAGCTCAAATAATTTCTAGTAGTAAGAAATTGTTAACATAATAACACTAAATTGTATGTGTAAGTACTAACCCATGAATATGTCTCCTTAGGATAAGTAAAATTGCTTAGTCAAAGTGTGTGTGCATTTCAGATTTTGTTGTTGCTTCTCAGAAAGGTGTATCTATATATTGCTATCAGTGACAATTGAAGACTGCCTGTCTGTTTTTCTACACCTTAAACCCACATTAGCTTCTATCTTTATCATCATCATCAGTCTTGATTTCTTGTCATTCAAAATTCCCATCGCTTTGAAGATTGTAAGTCTGAACAATACTGTACCTAGACTTCCCTAATAAGAACTGTGTGGAGGGGTATAAATGACTTAATTGCACAGCATGTCATCTTTTGCTCAGTGACTACTTCATGACAGAGTGAGGTTTGTTTTTTGACTTGTTTTATTCAGCATACTGAGGATAGAGAAGAAGGGATGGATGTAGAAGAAGGTGAAATGGGAGATGATGAAGCCCCCACTACTTGGTGAGTATTTAGAGCTTAAGCTTTCCTGATTTACAAAGATAACCCTTTAGTGAGATAGCAAATACTGGAATGAAGATACAGACAAGGAATGGGGGAAAATCGTGCTTATAGGTTTCTCTAATGTATACACCTTTCATATATGTTAAAATAATAAATTCTGAATCACTAGTAGGCTGTATCAGTTGGCTTCTAAATTATGGACAAATACTTAACGGTTTGAGCAATCCATCATACACATATCCTAAGCAATGCCAGATTTAGCCCCTCCCTTCTCCCTTCCATTAAACGATGGGCCTTGAGCTCATGTCAAGTATGCTAACTTACTGACCTGCAGAGGATTAGCGACCTCCCTTTCTCTCTCTTTCTTATCACTCTTTTCTTTCCCTTTGTAGCCCTGAGCCTTTGTTGCAGGTAATGTCTTCATAGTGCTAATTGGAAGCAGTGAGGAGGAGGGGGACCAGAAGTCTAGAGGCTCCCAGTGTATCAGAATAGCATTCTTCCATATCTGAAAACAGTAGGCCTTGCCATCATTTGTAAATGAGAGAATTTCTCTAACATCTGCCCACAAGATCAGTAGGGGATTCCTCTGTCTGCACAGAGAGAGGTATTGCTGATATCGCAGATTTCAAATTCAATCAATAGTAATATAAGAAGCACTTAGAAGTGATGTATCCCCAGGTTTACCTCTGGTTCTTGCTTGCTAGTTGTATGACCGTAAACAAGTGGTTTTCTAGAAGCGAGTTATGGTACCTTTAAAATGTAGCAGTGCTGCCTACTCATTGTGGTTGTTGGAAAGATTCAGAAAGAGGATATTCTTCATTGTAGTCGCTAATGACACATACAACAAAAAATGTCAAGCACACAGAAAAGAATCTCTTCGCTTTTCAGTCATTTTCTATTCATTATTCTAATTGTGGTTACTCTTTTTTTAGAGACCAATTTGTTTATATATATTATAGATAAAATGGACTGGTAGGGTCTGCCTGTGTAATACTGGGCAAAAGTAGATGCTAAGATAATGAGTTACCGGAAGTGTAAGTAGAACCCTAGAGATAGCCTGCTAGCTAGTTACTGCTTGGCCTAGTAGAGAACATTTAGGTCTTTTGGTGTGATCATAAATTAGTCCAAGGGCTGGCAAAGGTGTATAAGGTGCCTGCTGCCAACTTTAGCAACCTGAGTTTGATCCACAACACACATGGTAAAGAGAAATGACTTCTACAAGTGTCCAATGACCTCTGCACTCATCCTATGAGACACACACACATATATACACACTAAACAAATAAATATATAAATGTAAAACTAAATAAACTCATCACAGGAATGGTTATCGTCTATTATAAACAGTTTTATGAATGGAGGAAGGAAGAAAGTGTGTGGAGAACTATATATATACCAGTTAGCCTTAAGAGTTGAATTTAGCTACTGGAGAGATAACTCAGCTGTTGAGAGTACTGCTTTTTATAGAGGACCTGCTTTTGGTTTCCAGCACTCCCAGGGGAAGCTGATACTGTCTTCTGACCTCACAGTAAATACACATACATACAGGCAAAACCCTCAAACTATTAAATAAACCCAAAATAAAAATAAAAAAAAAACTGAACTTATGGCTGGACTTAGTAGCACATACTTTTAATCCTAGCCTTAGGGAGCTAGGGCAGGTAGATTTCTATGAGTTCAAGGCCAGCTTGGTCTACAAGCAAGTTCCAGGCCAGCCAGAGCTACACAGTGAGACCTTATCTCGAACAATAAAAATAAAAATAACCACAACAAAAAAGATGGATTACAAAGCATAACATATTACCCATGAATTTATACTATGAAGTCTATTTTAGATTTGATTCACTAAAATTCATGTATAAGCGTCTGTAAAATGAGGCTAAGGTACATGCCTTTAATCCCAGCACTTGGAAGGCAGAGGCAGGCAGATCTCTGTGAGTTCTAGGCCAGCCTGGACTACAAAGCAAGTCCAGGATAGCCAAGACTACACAGGGAAACCCTGTCTCGAAAAAAAAACCAAAAACAAAACAAAACAAAAGATTCGATAAAATGGTTCAGTAGAGACAGGAATAATAGTGTAAACCTGTAATCCCAGAACTTGAGAGAATCAGGCTGGAGGCCTGCCCTGAATTTAAGGGCAGCTTGGGTAGTGTAATAACCCATCTCAAAATAGTGATAACAGCCCAAAATAGCTCAACACTTTTTTAAACAATCACTTGGTTTTGTTTTGAGCATTTCAGTTTAAGATGCTTAGATAACATTCTGTTTTTTTGTTGTTGTTGATGTTGTGATGGAGTTGTCCTTTGTGGACCATACAAGTCTTGAATGCCTAGGCTCAAGAGGTCATACTCACCTTACCAACATGTCTGGCCTTGACTACCTCTTTCTTCTATTTTAGGCAATACCTCTTACCTCTGACTGTTATTGCTTGCAATTGTAAGAAGTTGTGCCTACTGGTACAGGCCTATAATCCTAGGTGCTGGGGAGGCCGAGGCAGACCCTGTGGGTGAATTTGTTTACTTTTACATTTGTGTATTTGTTTAGTGTATTTGTATGTGCCTGTGCCAGAGGCAAATGTCAGAGGACACCTCGTGGAAGTTGTGGGGTGGAAAGATAGCAAAACCCTGTCTTGAGAGAGAGAAGCAGAGGCAGGCAGATCAGGCTACACAGAGAAACTCTGTCTCAAGAAGAAAAAGAAAAAAAAAGACAAAGAATGGAGCTCCATTGTAAAGTACTTACCTAGCATGCATGAAATCCTAGGCTCAGTTCCCTGTGTCACAACATATTGTGTGTGTGTGTGTGTGTGTGTGTGTGTGTGTGTGTGTTATATATCTTTTGTAGATAAATAGGAAATCGAAGTTTTAGTGTATGTGTGTTACACCTTGTATATAGGAGACCCGTAAGTTTTTTTAGAATAGTAAAAGTGGACAGTGTGTAGACTCAAGTTTATCTGGAGAACTAGAGGTAGAGCTCAGTGGAACCTGCCAAACACAAACCCTAGATTCAATCCTAAACTCCAAAAAACCACTTCATTTAGCTATGAAAGAATAACATCCAACAGGGAAATGTAACCCTCAAGTGGGAGATGTTTTAGTGCCTCAACTATAAAGGTTCCTTAATATGTTGATACTGCTTAAAAATTTATTCTGGAATGGGGATGTAGCTCAGTGGCAAAACATTTGCTCAGTGTGATCCCCAGCACCACAGAAAATAGATGAAATTGGTTCTGTAAGGCACTTCACCACTGACCTAGTTAAAGAAGGTTGGAACTGATAATCAACTTGTAATAAAGTACTTCAGAGGGTAAGGAGATGCAGTTGTGAGGACCTGAGTTTGAATCTTCAGTGTGGAACCAGACATGATACTACAGCCCACATATATATATACCCAGAGCTCCTACAAGAGAATGCCCAGAAGCTCACACACCTGCTAACCTGCTCTATGCTGCAGCAAACAACAGAGACCCTGCCTTGAGGAAAGTGGAGGGCAAAGACCTCTACCCACGGCGTTGTCTTCTAGTGTCCACACATGCACCTGTACTCACACACATAGACACGCATCATAAACACAGCTACATGCACACACACATAAAAATAACTAAAAACAAAAGAGAATTTTTAAAGGATTTCTTTTTATTTATTTGTGTGTGTGTGTGTGTGTGTGTGCGTGTGTGTGCACGTGTGTGTGTGCATGTGTGTGTGCACATGAGTACGGGTGCCTCGAGGCTAGAGAGGTGTCCAGTCCCCTACAGCTGAAGTTATAGGCAGTTTTGAGCTGCTGATGTGGGTGCTGAGAGCTGAGCTCCATCTGCACAACAGTAAAGGCTCTTAACCGATAATCATCTCCCTGGCCCTTAAGTGAAGAAAAGATTCTTATTGGTGTCAAGCATTAAATTATATTTAGATCTTATAGTGACTGCAAAAAAAAAAAATGAACATACAAATGGTTGCATGATTTTCTCTGCTAGAGATAACCTTCCATTTTTCTTAGAATAAATTGCTTGGTCCCACACAGTAGCGTAGCCAAATTGGAAGTTAAATTAGTAATGCCATAATGAAGTCACTAGAGAAAAGACCTATTTTTGTGATATTGATTTGATTTATTCTTTACATATTTGTCTCATGTTTGCATTTCCTAGACTAATGGATGGTTATGATAATTCCTGTGGCATTATCCATTTAAATTGGTTTAAGTCTAGAAAGAGGCATTCCATGATTAGGCAGGAGAGTACTTACTCATGGGGTAGTCTGGAAACTCAGATTTCTTCTGACTTCTTCTTACAGCATATGTTGGTCCTTTTTTCTATAGTGTGGTAAGACAGATGGTAAAACGTGGTCCAAACAAGCATTGCACATGACTTCTTCCAGCTAATTTCACATGGCCACTCCTAGCAGGAAGAAAGATCACGAGTCATTAGTCCTTCATTTTAAATAGCCATATGTTTTGTCAAAAATCGGGCTTTACCAGTATATAGAAGGTCTATTGAGATTTTTCTAATCCCTTCAGATCATTTTTAAAAGTTTGTATAATTATTTTTGAATGTATACTTTTTAGGGCATAGAAGCATTTTATGAGCTTCTGAAAAGGTTTTGTGACCTAGGAAAAGAACATTTATATGTCTGTCAAACAATTTAAGTCATTTAATGCAATGTTTGTTTTATAGCTCTATTCCAATTGATTACAACCTGTATAGAAAATTCTGGTCACTTCAGGATTACTTCAGGAATCCTGTACAGTGCTATGAGAAGATTTCTTGGAAAACTTTTCTCAAGGTGGGTTACTGGACACAGGCCACTGAAGCTGATACTTCACAGATAATGACTAAATTAGACTCTACTTGTCCAAGTAGTTTTTACTATAGAACTCTCCCTCTGATGTTTTTATGTACCTGTTATATAAAATATAGATACTAAATTGTGAATATATACTGATATACTACAAAACCACTGATTTTGTAGTATAGTTTTTAAGTGGTTTAAGGTTAGTAATTAAAGCCTTGAAGGTTTATTTTTAATAATAATTGCTGTTAACATAAATTGATGATTTTTTTCAGGCTATCTTCTCCATTTGAAATGTTTTTGAGGGGCACATACCAGAGTTTATTGAGAAGTAGGGAACAGATCCCACAGCAGGGAGAGGTTTGAAAGGAGTTGTCCTGCCCAATTGTTCTTTTCTCCCAGTTGTCTTGTTAAAACTGTAGCCCCAAACTAAGTCAGTCTGCTTTCTGAACAGGTGTTGCGGGGTATTTGATCCCGTTGTGAAACCCGAGATTGTGAACTCAAAATAAACCTATTTCTTTTTTGTAGTGTGGCTCAGCCCTAACACACACCATTAACCCATGAGCTTTCTGCTTATTGTAAACAAGTAGTTGCAGTGTGGCTCAGCCCTAGAGCTAAATAAAGTCAACCATAGGTCAGGAGGCAGAGCAAGCAAGCAGTTGACAGGGAGTGAACATACGTAAACACGGGGAGGTACAGTGAACAGGGTGGTGCTCGTTCACACCTTTGATCCCAACACTTGGGAGGCAGAGGCAGGAACATAGGAATTACAGTAATTTAAATTCAAAAGCCACTTGCAAGCCAAGCATGGTGGCCCATGCCTTTGATCCCAGCACTCAGGGAGGCAGAGGCAGCTGTAACACTGAGAGTTCAAGGCCAGCCAAAGCTACACAGAGAAACCCTGTCTTGAAAAGCAAAACAAAAAGCTGCTCGCAGAAGAAAGGTTGAAATTCAAAGTGAATGTCCTTTGTGATCTAAAAATAAATATACTTAAAGGTATATTTAGTTTCAAATTTTCAAAATTTTTTTAATTTGAACGATAATATTTTTTCTGTTGCCAGAAAGCATTTTGTCTTAGGAAAGATGTAACAGGTCTCCCCCCCACCACCACAAAAAAAGAAAAAGAAACACCCCAGAGTACGATTGGGATAGGGTTTTCTTTTGTCTTTCCAGTAGAATAAAAGTATCCAACTAAGGAATCCAGAGCCCACTGGACAAATGAAACATCTGAAAAAAAAGGATCATCAAAGGAAAATGTCCCAAGAAAAAGTAAATTGGCCAAGTGGTCTTCAAGAAGAGCATGGGTCCCCACAACAACGAGTCCACCTGGATTGTATAATGCTGACCGCTTGGCAAAACTGCCACGTGCTGCTTCTGCTGCCAGGTTCTGCACAAACAGTGGACACCTTTTGGGTTGACTGCTACGTTCTACCTAGCCAGGATCACCACCAAGCTGAGAAATACCACCCAAAGATCAGCTTCAGACTACAGACTGGTCAGGACATTCAAATTAATGATTTCATAGGAGATTGACACAAACATTTTACAGAACTTTGAACTCAAAATTACGTAATCCTTAGACTGCCAAATTCAACTGGACATTGTAAAGCTTGGCAGAAATAGCCTCATTATTGTAAATAGTTTTTCTGTGTTGGAGTTAAAGTCTTTCCTTTAAAAAAAAATAAGCGGGGGACTATAGAAATAAAATAGGAATAATAGGAAAAAAGGGTAGATTATTGAATCTGCTCTTACAGATCAGTGTTATATTGATAAAAAAATTAAGGTTATATTTGTATACTGATACAAAATTAAGGTTATATTGTGGCTACAACATACTATGTATCAACTGTTTTTAAGGTATTATACCTGTATAATTCTTGAAAATGCAATGTGAAATTCTAGACCTTTTGAAAGCTACTATCACACACTGTTGAGGATAATTAAATGTAAATTAATAGTCAATCAAACTTGTGGTTTTGTTAGGTACTAGTTTAGGTTAATCACAGATTTTTTTTTAAAGTTAATCAGATAGTAAATGGCCAGGGACAATCAACATTTGCCTACTCAAATATACTGAGATAGACATATGGTCTTCAAAAACCTCTAGAGATTTATAGAATATGGCATTTAAAGATGTTTTATTAATTTAAGACTTTTTTGACAATAAGATGTGTCAGCCCTGGTAGCACCTGATACTACTTCAAAGAAGATGATGAGCACAGAGAACTTCTTTATAGAGTTTGCTTCAAATGTGGCAAGCTGCCACTGGGTAAGAAACTGTCCTTGCCTCAACCGCTGACAGTATGCTGTCCAAGCTGTGGACAAGCAGGATACAAGGAAAGCTGACTGCTGAGCTCAGACAGGACAAGGTAGAGAAGTCGTTCGTAATCCCTGCTTCACAGAATAATCTGTCAGATATTCTGGGCCAATAGTCCAAAGAGATGGGTGTTCCAGCATTGCAGATGAACTGTAAAGCTGTAACTGTAATGGAGGTGACTGTCCAGGTGGCCAGCAGTCTCTGTCATTTCTGTAGTTTTGGAAGCTGCTTGCTCTGCACTTCCTGTTTATTTAGATATATATCGTTCTCAGTTTGCTGTTGGGGTTGAAGACTTAAATAGTCTCACAGTTAAGTGCAAGTTGTTTAGGATTTAAGAAAATTGTTTTTAGGTCTAAAAAGATGTTTTAAAATGCAAGTTATGATAGAAAGTGATTTAGATACAGAACTTCAGATTCACCAAGATAGAATAATAGTAGAGTACTTTCTCCAAGGCTGCTAAACACTAATGGACTGGACATTGTGAATGTGATTCTTACCAGCTATTATATAGTTAATTGATGTTAGAGAAACAGACTTTTATTTAGACAAAAGGAGGGGAAAGACCAAATGTTCAGTTTTACCAGTGAAGACTCAGGAGCCAGAGAGAGGGAGAGACACCCAGCTGACCTTCCTACTCCACTGACATCCCAGAGAGAAAAGGCCCTTCTCCTCGGCTTAAATACCCTTCACCTCAGTGTCCCTCCCCGTGTTTACCTATGTTCACTCCCTGTCAACTGCTTGCTTGCTCTGCCTCCTGACCTATGGTTGACTTTATTTAGCTCTAGGGCTGAGCCACACTGCACCTACTTGTTTACAATAAGCAGAAAGCTCATGGGTTAATGTTGTGTGTTAGGGCTGAGCCACACTACAGGTTTATTTTGAGTTCACAATCTCGGGGTTCATGGTGCGATCAAATATCTTGCAGCAAAGAGGTTTCTTGGACCAAAGCCATGATGATTAGTTTATGTGTGTTTTCTCTGCAGTATGGTGGCAGGGTTGAGTATTTGGAACTGACACCTGTGTGCCACAAAGCCCAAAATACTTGCTGTCTGCACCTTTATAAAACATTAGCCAACCTATTATAGAAGAATCCCCATATTTGTCTTGTAGAAATGGAAGATTGTGATTCAAATTTTTAAAAAAATAAAGTTTTTAAGGCACCATGATATTCTGTGTTAATTTATATGCAGTTTAGAGGAATGGCACCATCCAAATAGAGATTAAAATGATGAGTGAGAAACTATAAAAAATTATATTCTCAGTTGAATTATCTCCTCATTGTTTTGCTAGTCAGCACATAAATGTTTGCTGCTTAACAATTTTTTATAAAAGTTGTGTAGTTCTTGGGGAATCGTGATTATTCCTGCTTTTACAATATGAAATCTCATTCAAAAGTGTTTTTACCCCCATAATGCTGTTAGAATTTTTTATACTTTTTAAAAAATATGCCTTACATTATATGTAGGTTAACTGGGAGTAAATTCTATGTATATGATACAGAAAATCACTAAATGAAATTTTTGTAACAGTGTTAAAGAAAACTTTTTTTTTTTTTTTTTTTTTTTTTTGCAGTATTCTGAAGAAGTTTTAGCCGTTTTTAAGAGTTACAAATTAGATGATACTCAAGCCTCTAGGAAGAAAATGGAAGAATTGAAAACAGGAGGAGAACATGTATACTTTGCAAAATTTTTAACAAGTGAAAAGGTGTGTGTCTTCTTTTCTCCTAAGAATGTCTGAAAGTGCAGATTCTGTGTGTGTTCAGTAGACTTGCTTTTTACTGTTGACCAGAGCCAAACTTGGTGAACAAATAGGACTAATTTGATTAGTCTCCATTAAGTCGCTTTAGTAGGGTTACTTTAGAGTGAAGGTACCTAATTACTTGGAAGCGTTTCTATTTTAAAGTTTAAATTAGGATTTAATTTGCATTTATAAAAATGATTTGAAATTCATTTATCATATAGTTAAAAATAAGAGGCTTTGGACTAGCTGTTGATGATAGTGCATTTCAGTGGGTTCTGCTCAAAGTGGCACAGTGACTTTGTGTTTTGACTCATTCCTTTTGCTGCAAACATAAAATATAAAAGCAGTGACACATAAAATATAAAAGACAAAGCTGGCTTTCCAGAAATAGATATCTTCATAAATTAGAAATAGCAACTTATGACTGGTGGTGGTGGTACAGACCTTTAATCCCAGCACTTTGGAGACAGGGGCAGGTGGTCTCTGAGTTCAAGGCCAGGCTGGTCTACACAGTTGAATTCCAGCACAGCCAGGGCTACACAGAAAAACACCGCCGTGGAAAATAAATAAATAAATAAATGAATGAATAAATAACTGAATAAATAAATGAATGAACAAACAGATAAATAAATGAAATAGCAAGTTTTGAGAGTGAAACTCAAGCCATGGCCCTTGGGACTCCATCCAAAGCAGGTAATGGCCCCACAAGTTTTGCTGCAAGTATCAGAGGCCAAGTGTGCTCCCTCCTGGACCAGGGTAGAGCCACATACTGCTAGCAACTGGGACAGCTGTAGATTTTTATTTATATTAACAATTTCTGCCAAGAGGCATGATTTTATAGGAAGTTCCCAGCCCAGGGATAATACAACTTACTCAGTGACTGTGTATGTGATGCCACCTATGATCTTATCAGGCAGCTGCCCCAGAAGTCAGAACTAAACAAAGCGGCATGGTAGTGCACACCAGTGATGCCAGCACTCTGTGGCAGAAGCCAGCAGATCTCTGCGAGTTCAAGGCCAGTGTGGTCTACAAAGTGAGTCCAGGACAACCAAGGCTACACAGAGAAACCATGTCTAGAGTGCCCCCCCTAAAAAAAAGAAAAACAATCAGAAGTATTGAAAATAGCGTTCACAAAATACGATGCAGCAAAGAATAACAATACCAAAGTCCCCTGTAGTCAGATCTCTGCCAGTCAGAAGTCAGCATTTGAATGCTACACGGTGCATAAAAAGGGCGCCCCAACACTTCCCAACAATTGTTACCTGAAACCCTGAAACCATCAGAAAAATTATGAAAGTACTAAGGAAAAAAACAAAACAAAATAGGGCGATGATTGTAAAAGTCCAAACTCAGGTAAATATATTTAAGACTGAAGATTAAAAACAGATGCTTACTTGTATTGAAAGACTAGGAAGCTTGCTACTCAAAAGATCCTCACTTTGAAAAAATAAATAAAAGATATTCTTCAGGAAGAAGGAAGCTGATCTGTAAGAGAGGGCTAGGATACAGAAAGCACCAGTGACACAAAAATTGAAAATCATGACAATTTGTTGACTATATATATATATATATATATATATATATATATATGTAGACATATGTTATATACACATGTATATATGTGTGTGTTACATGTACATATATAGTACATACATACTGTATATACAGCAGTGAGCAATGTTAGCTCAGTGCAGACCTTGTAATATTTTAGAAAAGGTTGGGATAATGAATAACTTTAGAATATTTGTATATATTAAAATCAACATTTAGTTTCCAAATAGCAGAGAAATCAAGTTAGAAAGTAGAGAAAATCTAACAAGTAACAAGAAGGAAAAACTGGAAAAGGAAGAGAAGGGATTATGGATGCACAGTATAACAAACAGAAACTGATTGAATTTACCCAATGGACAAATGGTCAGGGTAGATGTGGGTTTTTAAAACATAGTTTATAAGTATTAATTTTAATGAGGTAAACATAAATTCTATTGACATGTTATCTTGTATTAAGGAGAAAAAGAAAATGTCAAAAGTTCTTGCGTAACAAAGAAACTTCCCAAGACAAGCAAATATAAAACGCTGAGGTGTCAGCTGGGCATGGTGGTACACATCTTTAATCCCAGTTAAAGGAGGCAGAGGCAGGCAGTTCACTGTGACGTCGAGGCCAACTTGGTCTGCAATGTTAGGGGTTTAGGTACCTTATTCTTTGTCAGAAACAGCTAGTCAGTGAAATCAAACACTGGCTGTCATTTCATTAGTAAGCAGGTTTTTAAAAAAAAAATGGTTTTGGGCCATTGCAAGGTTAGATATTTATCATTGTAGTAGACCAGCAGCACAATGCTTTGCTTACACAGTGTGGTTAGTCATTCCATTAGAGTCAGGAGATGACACCTGACAAGAATGCATAAGAGTCAGGCCAGTCACATAGCAGCCACCTGTAAGCATGAGCTCTACAATTTTACGCTGCTTCTGGTATGGGTCCAGACACGAAGCTTAATTCTCTTGTCAGGAAAACAGAATAATCCAAAGACATTAGTTGCTAAATGTAGTACTGACATCTCTGTTTTCTGTTTCAGTGTTTTATTTTTACTATTGCTTCAAAGTCTTAAGGGAAATGAAATTAGGTTTCACTGTTTATTTTACTGAGGAATATGGATTCCCTCCCCCCTAGTAGAGCCAAAAAAAACCAGGGCCCTCCAACCAAGGATCATGCATAGAGAGGACCTAAAAACCCTTGCTCAGATGTAGCCCATAGACTCAGTGTCCAAGTGGGTTCCCTAGGAAGGGGAGCAGTGGCTGTCTCTGACATGAACTCAGTGGCTGGCTCTATGATCACTGCCCCCTAGGGGGTGCAGCCTTGCCAAGCCACAGAGGAAAACAATGCAGCCAGTCCTGATGAGACCTGATAAGCTAGGGTCAGATGGAAGGGGAGGAAGAACTCCCCTATCAGTGGACTGGGGGAGGAACATAGGGGGAGAAGAAGGAGGAAGAGTGGAATTGGGAGGAGAGGAGGGAGGGGACCACAGCTGGGATATAAAGTGAACAAATTCTAATAAATAATAACAATAAATATTTTAAAAAGTTTTAGCAGTACTCAGATGTGGGAACACATGTGGGTGTCCCTGGGTGTCCATAGTCCTATTTTCCATCTCTACTGAAACTGGAAGCTGCTGCCATCTGGAGTGTTGGGATAGCAGGACTCGGTTTCCTCACTTCTCAAGTGAAAGTTTAACTTAAAAATGAAGAAAGTAGGAATACTACTTGCTTTCTTCTCTGAAAGCAAATGCTTTAGAACACAAGTAAGATACATGTTAAGATACATGATAAGATATATTCTCAGCTAAAAATCATTTTATAGTTTATTTCTCTAAATCCTCCCCTAGCATTTTTATACTATTATTCTATACTATACTGTTAGTCTTCTATTAACATAATGGATGTGTTACCTGTATCACCTCCAGTCTGTAGAGAAGGTGGCCCCATCAAAACACTGAAACTTTAAGCCTGGTTCTTTATGTGGAGAAACTTGAACAGCTTGCCCATATATAGAAGTTCTTAGTGGTGCTCGATAATTTCACAGTTTTTATTTGTTCTTCAACTCTGGGAGAGAAAGAGAAGGACAAGGAGGCCAGAAGTGTCAGATCTTTGTAATCTGGAGTTCCAGGTTGTAAGCCATGCAACCTGGGTGCTGGGATTGAAAGAACAGTTTGGACTCCTAACTGCTGGCTCCCCTAAACTTTCTTGTCATTGTTGCAACTCAGCACATCTAAAGGAGTGGTTTATTCTAGGAGGGGAACGTTCTGTAGGTGTTCACAGCATACAGAAGCGGCCCTTGTCTGCCCTACCTCACCAGGACAAATTTTCATGTCCTTTCCCTCTCTCCCTCTCTTCCTCCCTTCCTCCTCTCTGTCCCTGGCTGTCCTGAACTCACTTTGTAGACCAGGCTGGCCTGGAACTCATAGCAATCTACCTGCCTCTTAGCAAATTTCAAAGATTGCATACTATACCAACTACAGTGTCTGGCCACAGTGTGATTAAATTAGAATTTCAGAGAGGATAATTTAGAAAGAGTTGTAGGTGATAGCATACCTCTGCTTTAAGAAATCATTGCAGAGCCAGTGCAGTTACATACACTGTAATCCTGACTTGGGGAGGCAGAGGCAGGCGGATCTCTGTGAGTTCAAGGCCAGCCTGGTCTACAAAGTGAGTCCAAGACAGCCAAGGCTACACAGAGAAACCCTGTCTCAAAAACGAACAAACAACCAAACAAACAGAAAGAAAGGATTTTATTAGTTCTCTCTCACTTTTTTTTTAACAAGAGGAGATACAGATCTCCCTTTGTAGCACTAGATGACCCTGTATACTCATGAGGCAGAGGCAGGCCAATCTCTTTGAGTTTGAGGTCAACCTGGTCTACACAAATAGAAGTTCCAGGACAGCCAGGGCTACATAGCAAGATCTTGTCTTTAAAAAAAAAAAAAAAAATGTTTTGACAAAGGTATAAGAGAATGTGAAATTATAGTTTGTTATAAACTGAATGAACTACTTCAAATAACTTTAAGTGTTAAAGTTAAAACTTTTATTACTGGTTATAGCTCCTAGAGCAGCACTTCTCAATGTGTGGGGTCGAAACCTCACTGGGAATTGAATGACTCTTTGACAAGGTATCTTAGTTAAGGCTTCTATTGCTGTGATGAAACACCATGACCAAAAAACAAGTTGGGGAGGAAAGGGTTTATTTGGCTTACTTTCAGATCCTAGTTCATCATTGGAAGAAGACAGGACAGGAACTCAAGCTGGGCAGGAACCTGGAGGCAGGAGCTGGTGCAGAGGCCATGGAGGGAGTGCTTACCAGCTTGCTCTCGTGGCTTGCTCAGCCTGCTTTCTTATAGAACTCCACCAGCCGGAATGGCAACACCCACAATGGGCTGGGCCCCTTATTGATCACTAATTGAGAAAATGTTTTACAGCTGGATCTCATGGAGTCATTTCCTCAACTGAGGCTCCTTCCTCTTTGATGACTCTAGCACGTGTCAAGTTGGCATACAAAACCAGCCAGTACACAAGCCTTGCGTAAGATCATCAAAAGACACAGATATTTAAAGTGCAATTCATAACAGTAGCAAAATTAGAGTTATGGAGTAGCAACAAAAATAATTTTGTGTCTGGGGTCAGCATGAGGAACTGTATTAAAGGGCCACAGCATTAGGAAGTTGAGAACCCCTGTCCCAGAGAACCATATACTGACACAAGGAAATCATGAGACTTGCTGTACTGACTTTAAAATGACGTGTGAGTGAACATTTGGAAACGAGGGCCTAAGCCTTTTCTACACACAGGGCAGTAATTCAACAGAATCCAATGAAGAGCTCACAGTGGATAAGCTGGAACCTGCAAATCTGGCTGATTTGTAAATAAGCATTATTTTATGTGACCATGCTCCTCATTTACATATTCTCTCACTGCTTTTGTATGAGTGTGAGTTGTGACAGAGACTGTATGGTCACATAGACTAAAATATAGCTTCTCTCTAACACAGAAAAAAAATTTGCTAGTCCCTGAACCTAAAGCGACATATATTAATGTGTGTAGATTTCAAACTCAGTATTGTGTGAAAATAGTAAATTACAGAATAACAAGTATAATATGGTTTGAATATCTGTATATAGTATTTGCAGATGCTTGCATATGTGTTGATACTATAAAATAAGTATAAAAATCCTAATCACCAAATACATAGGAATGGTTATCATAGCAGGAGCAGGGAAAAGGAAGGAGGGTGTTGAGGACTTGGCAGTTTCAGAATGTATTTTTTTTTAAACAAATGTGGAACAAGTAACTGAGTGATAATGTGAATATTGAACTGTTATGCCTTTTTAACATTTGAAATATTTAATTTTAGATGGGATGTTTTTATTTCATAGTGTTAATAATTAATGAAAATTTTAATAATGAAATGGACTGAATTTTTTCCTAGTACAGATTTGTAAAGCATTTTATGTTGAATTCATTGAAATGGAAGATTTCAGATTTAGCCTTTATTTTACCAAGAATATTGGCAAATATTTCATGGAAAATTGATGACAGAAATCATAAGTGACCAAAGATTAGCCATTTTAGGTTTAGGATAATATCATGCAGGTTGAGGCCCCTGACCTATGCAATTAGTGAAAGCCAAGGATTATAAAAGGCCCTATGTTTACAAACAAAAAACAAAGCAACATTTGGTCTGTGACATGATGAAAATGACGATATCTGATACAAAAAGAAAAGTGCAACAGAAAATGTGTAGATATTGTAAAGAAGAGTAGGGATGAGGATGTTTAGTCTTAGCTGTCACTAGCTGGCTGCCTCACCAGCTGCCTCCTTAGGAGTTTCTTAAGCAAATAGCTATTGCTTAGGCAAGTAGATGGTGGACTCTCTCAGTGAATTAGCCAGTCCTGGAGAACTGGCTTTATGAGGAAAACTGATGTTTTATTTTATTCATGAACCAGATAGCAGTTGAACATGAAATAGATCTAGGTTAAGAGTAAAGGTTTGGGATTTGATCAGTTTTTAAATGGCAACTAATGTTTATAGTGTGTGAGATCAGCTGGAGAAGAGAGTATAGATTAGAAAGAGAAATGTGAAACCAAAGTCTAAAGAAAACCAAGGCTTAATGAAGAGGAAAGTGGGGAGGGAGGTGTAGAAGACAGAGAGGAGGGAAGCCTAGCAAAGGAGTCGGGATTTAGAAGGTTGAGAGCAGGGAAGACAGTTAATGATTAAGCTTGAGTTCCTGAGAGCCCAGCTGCCCAGGATGAAGCTAGGGCTCAGACTGGACAGCACATGTTCACTCTTTTTTCTTTCTGTCTTTAGTACTATTAATATTTTCTTTATATATGTATTTATTTATTTAGCAATTTATTCATTTTGTATTCCAGTTGTAGCCCCCTTCCTCATCTCCCAGTTCCATCCTCCCTCCCTCTTCCTCCCCTAGCTCTCTCCACTAGTCCACTGTTAGGGGAAGTCCTCCTCCCCTACTGTCTGACCCTAGCCTGTCAGGTCCCATCAGAACTTCCTGGATCCTCTTTCTCTGTGGGCTGGCCAGGTCACCCCACCAGGGAGAAGTGATCAAGGAGCAGGCAACCAAGTTCATGTCAGAGACTGTCTCTTCCCCCTCTACTAGGAGACCCACATGGAGACTTAGCTGTCAGAGCAGGTGGTCTAGGTCCTCTCTATGTATGGTCTTTGGTTGATTCGTCAGTTCTGCAGTCCTTTCTGGGCCCAGCTTCTTTTGGCTTTGTTGGTCCTTGGGTGCTCCTGTGGAGCTTTCAACACATACAAAATAGTAAGAAAGCCAAATTACAGCAGGTTGAGGAACAAACTGGAAGCCATGGATGTGGCTGGCTCCTTTGCATCTTTGCCATTTGGGGAGGGTGAGGCAAGTATGGTGAGGTGTCTTTCAGGAAAGCTACTTAACACTAACCAAATGGAGCTTGAAAAAGGAAGGGGTGGGTGGGTAGAAGGGTCAGGAAGAGGTTAAAAGTGGGGTCAGTTAAACTGCAGTTCACAGATTAAAGAATTTTCTTTGACTGGGAATGTGCAACAGAAGCAGATGAGAACACAGGAGCAGGTCTAGGTGCAGCTAAGTTTTACTTTGGGGAGGAAGCAAGAAATTAAATTGCTTCCAATTTAATGAACTTTCTTTCTCATGGAAGGCAAATAGACATTGAGGAAGGGTAGTGAGTAGTGTTTTTGGAAAGTGGAAAGGTTTTAAATAGTTGCTGTGGGGACTAAGAGATGTCCTTAGAGAATAAAGAAAGATTGATGAGTAAAACAAAGATATTTCCCTTAGGACGTCCGAGTAGTGATATACTTTGCCCAGCCTTGTGGTTTGTCTGTTTGTTCAAACACCTTCACTTTCATCGTAGGTGCGAGCATAGTGTTGGCACACAGAAGACGACTACAGTTATGATCTAGCGTGGGCTCAGTAGGTGGGAAGGACTGTGGTGTCAGGGCATTGAGAAAGTCCACAAGAAAATGGCCGGAAACAAACATTTGGGCCAAAGTTAGCCCACTAGTTTTTGTTTTGTTAGTTACATTTTAAATGCTTGTGTTAAGTATTTACACAATACTCATAATATTTCTTGGCACACAACACCTTAAGGAAACTTCCTGACAGCCAAACCAAAATCTAATTATAATAAAAACGGTGTGATTTATAGAGAAGCAGAGAATGGAGAGAGATCTCTAGAGACCAGCTCAGTAAGGATGAAATATATTAGCTACACCGGGAACAGCTTGGAGCCCTGAAAAGATGAGGTTGTAATGGCTCCTCCTAGACGGGACTGTGAGAGGACAGCGCCAAAGGTGAAATGACTGGGTGGCGGGATGTGCTAGTCAGTTGGGTTGAAGTCCAGAAGCTGAGAGCCTTTGTGATACCAGTAGCGTCAGTTGGGATCTAGAGAAAAGGAAGACTACTGGTGTACCAGTCACGTGTGAGAGAGTGAACATGAAAAATAACAGAAAGGAATATTCATGCCCCAGAGCTGAGGTGAGGCCAGTTATTACGCCCCTTGCTGAAGCACGAGTGTGAAAGAAGATGTTAGTAAGTAGGATAGCCTGCTATGTGGCAGGCTGTGTTAGAAACAGCAAGTGAACCCGGGACAAAAAACTTGGGACTCTGAACTCAAAGCCAGTCACTAGGGTTCCCTGATACTATGCTGATCATTCATTTAGAAGAAGGTAACTTCCCGTTATTCTACTACAAGTCTGCAGAAAGCCTTCAGCCATCCTCAAGCTCAGTAGGGACATTTTCAGAATGGGTTTCCTTTTCATCACCTGTCACTGTCAGAGTAGAAGCAACTCGGTAGTAGGATTTCTGGAGAACATCCTTATTAATGATCTTCAGGTCCAGTCTGCTCCGTGTTCTATAATACAGTTATGATGCATTGCAAAAATCTAAAGAGAAAAGGCCCACCTTTAATTTCAGATAACTCTTCCCTTCTCATTTCTGCTGGCTTATTCAGCCCCCACCTCTGATACAGGCACTCTGCAGGGTGACAAAATCAATGGTGCCCTTGCCGTTGTCCTGTTGACATGGAAGTGCCCTGTAGCCATTGTGGAAAAGTGTTGGCACTCTCTCTCTTCACTTTATTTTTCTGCTTCATGTTATCATGGTGTCAGGCCCAGGAGAACATTTTTATTCACCAACAGCATAAAATGACCAAGATGTCACAATGAAACCATTGCTCTTCTGTTCTTGGGTTTGGGCAGGGAGGGAGCGCACAGCAATTTTTTTTTAACTGAAAGAGAATCTTCCATTTCTACAATTGGATAACTTGCACTTTTAGTCGTACTTGGTTTTAATGTGTTGCTGTGTGTGTCCTTGTATTTTGAACAGCTGATGGATTTACAGCTGAGCGACAGTAACTTTCGTCGACACATCCTGCTGCAGTATCTCATTTTATTTCAGTATCTCAAGGGACAGGTCAAATTCAAAAGGTGAGTCAGTGTGTAGAAAGTGATTTCACACAGTGACAGGGGAAAGACTTTGCAAAGATTTTCATGTTTTAGGCCAATAAAATCATATAATTTAGGGGCTTGGTTTGTTTGGATTTTTTGTTTTGGTTTGGTTTTGAGGCACGGATTCTGTGTGTAGCGTTGGCTGTCCTGGAACTCCTGGAACTCGCTCTGTAGAACAGGCTGGCCTTGAACTCAGAGATTCACCTGCCTCTGCTTCCTGAGTGCTGGATTAAAGGCGTGTATCAACACTGCCCAGCATCATTTCATTTTTTATTGAAAGTTATTATTGCAGGGAGGGGTGCCATGGTCACCTGTGGAGGTCAGAGGACCTTCAGAAATCAGTTCTCTCTGCATCAGGAGATCTGGGTATGGAAGCCAGATCATTACATTTGCACAGCATCAGTTTTTACCCACTGGGCTATCTCACTGGCCCTAAGCCCATTTTGTGTAGAAGGGCTACATGCCTGAAAATACTTTTACTAAAGCAGCCAGATAGCCAGTTGGGAACTTTTAGATGTAGGGTGTTTGTTGTAGGAAAAGTATCAAGATACACATTTGCTAATGTGAGTCTCCTGCAATACCAGGCTTTCCCAGGAGTTTTGCTCCTGTTGGTGCATGATAGTCCATGTGTCTCATGCGAAATTGTAAACTAAGGAAATAATACTCTCACATATCATAAGTCATCTAGGAAATTAGAGCTGAAAGAACCAAAGAAAATCTTGAAACAAAGGTGAGTTCTAGGCACTGAGAAAATAGCTCAGTTGCTGAAATGATTGTGGTGCAAACATGAGAATCCAGGTTCATTCTCCAGCACCTCCATAAATAGCCAGGTACGGGACACGTCTTGTAATCTCAGTGATGCAGATGTGGAGATAAGAGAATCCCTGAGGCTTGCTGGCCAGCTAGCCTAGCCTAATCGGGGAGTACCAGGTCTTAGTAAGATACCCTTTCTCCACCAACAAGGTGAGTGGCACCTGAGAAATAACACCTAGGATTGACCTTTTCCCCACCCTAACTCCCTACACCCCCACTGTTCTATTTTAGGTTTTCATATAACCTTATCTATTGTGTCTAAACCCCTCCAACAAAAAGTATACCATTTTTTCACATCCTATCCATAACTAAGCCAGAACCCTGTTGCTTATACACAAGCGAGTGCAGTATAAATTGCATAAAGGGCATGGCGTATTGCCTGCTGGGTCCATATTCCAGTGTCAGCACATGATAGCCGCCCAAAAGTGCAGAAAGATCAAGGGCTTGGAACAGAGGTTTGATCTCAAGCTTTGAGCTTTAGGAAAGTCTCTTTAACATGTGCATGAAATTGTTCTGCGGACTCTGAGCCCATGTTCAGATGATAATCTAGTTGCATTTGTTGATGGCTTTGGAGCAATTAGTGGATAATTAATGGGAGCTGATAATATTTTCAGTTTTGCCAACAGCCTTTTCCATTGTATTTTGAGTCTTAAAGAAAACATAGAATGCCTGTCTAAATGTGTAACATGTTGTACGCTACATGATTATGTTAATATCTTCTCAGATTTTTAACTCTGGATTTAGGAAATATTTATTACTCTGTAGTCAGACCAGTTAATTCAATGTCTTACTTGCCTTTATACTTTCATGACTTCAATTCTAACACTTGATAATGAAATATAAGAATTTTCTCATAATCCTCACATTTGTCATGGTTTTTGTTAAATTTTGGCACAATATGGTTAGCTTATGGGTGCCAGAAATAAGCCTCAACATGTGTACATACTGTAACTCGGGCATGCATTTATTCTTTCTTTCCGTAGTTCAAATTATGTTTTAACTGATGAGCAATCACTCTGGATTGAAGATACTACAAAATCAGTCTACCAAGTAAGTCCAACCTGCAACAAACCCATGATTGAAAAAATGGAAATTTAGAATTTTCTTTGTTTCAGCCCCAAATAGGAAAATAAGGATAAAGTTAAGCTCAGGTACAAGAACACAAACACTTCTTGGTTCTCTGCCTACAAACAACTCCTATGATGCAGAAAGTTGTTGAAAGCTTAGTATATTCTTTCTAATCACAGCTGCTTTCTGAAAACCCCCCTGATGGAGAAAGATTTTCAAAGATGGTAGAGGTATGTATTTGATCACTAGTTTCCTTAGTGTCAGCTATGATTCCAAAATATTGTTATGCAGATATGATGTCTTTTGTTTATTCCAGCATATATTAAATACTGAAGAAAATTGGAACTCATGGAAAAATGAAGGCTGCCCAAGTTTTGTGAAAGAAAGGTAAATAGAAATCATTACAAGATGATTTATGAAATATGAAATATGAAAACATTTCAAAGTACGGTTTCATAAGTTCTCAGATTATGTTATTGAAAATGTTCTGTTTGCTCTATAATGTTTTTTTTTTTTTTTTTGTCTTCAGTTCTGACATACTATGAAGCTTTCGTATCTTAGGGTAAAACCAATCAGTAGCTCTCTTTTTCTGATTCTGTTTGTTTGTTTTGCTGTGAGTAGAATTAAATAAATCCAGGGCCTTGTGCACATTAGGCAAATGCTTGCCTATTCCCTCATTTCTGCTTTCCATATATAGCCCCAGAATATATGTTTTGTTCACAGACCATCGGATACCAAGCCCACAAGAGTGGTACGGAAGAGAGCAGCCCCAGAAGACTTCTTAGGCAAAGGGCCCAACAAGAAGATCCTGATTGGAAAGTATGTCCACTCATCTTCCTATGTTCTTGCTATTTTTATATTTCATATATATATAATATATATATATATATATACTTTAATGTATATTATATATTTTATATATTCTTACTATAAGAACTCTCCAGCTGGGCTGAAGAGATGGCTCAGCTGTTTAGGCTATGCTCACAACCAAAAAGAAAAAAGCTCTCCAACTTTTCACATCTACACGAATTTATATTTAAGACATACTGGATGACCCCATTGCTCCAAACTGTCATTATGTGAATTAATGCAACTACTTAAGCCTTCCTTTCATCTCCCACTTTAAAAGCCCTTGGCTGTAGGCTCTTTTCCATGTCATAGACAGTACAACTGTTTAGGCCAGTGCAGCTCACTTCTAGTTACAGAAAGGATGATCTTTCAGTTCTGTTACCTTTAAGTTAATTCTCTACTTTTTACTGTGATTCAATTTCTCTAAAATGGTATCATAAAATATATGCTTGCATAAAGGTTACTCTCGCCACCCCAAGCCCACTCACTACCCATGTATAGATGCAGCCTATGATGTCCTAGGATGCTACGTATAAAGTCACACCTGCCTTATTTTGTAGTGAGGAGCTAACAAGGCTTTGGAATCTCTGTCCTGATAATATGGAAGCCTGTAAATCAGAGACAAGGTAAGTGTAAAACTTTTTTTTTTCTCAATGTTCAGTAAAGTAGAATGGAACCATTTTTTAGCCATGGTTGACTTTGGGCATGACTGAATATGATTTGCCTTAAAATGAACACCTAGAAATATAGGAAAATTTTTAGAGAACACAAGAAAATAAAAGTTTCATGAAAGAAATGGGAACTCAATACCAAAAGAGTGACTTTGGGTTGATTTGGTATTCTAAGCTAGTGAGCAGTGAGATGGTCCAGTTTGAGATACTTTCAGAAATGCAGAAGATGACTGAGCCTGAGCATGACTTCTTGATGTCAGCAGGGACACTGCCTGCCAAGGAAGGAAAGCAGTGAGAGACAAGAACAGGATATACCTCCCTGGCACTGGAAACCAGGAAGCTTTCCTTAGCTTTCTTGTTCCTCAGAAATCCATAGCTTTTTCTGCTATGGTTTCTGAGAAACAAGAACAGGCTTTTCTCACGCAGCTGACATTTCTAGTACCAACAGCAATTGGGAACCCAAAGCTAAAAATCAGCTAGGAAATTCTAGGCTGGTGGTAAAATCTGTCTGAAGGTCAAACCTTTAAGATGGAGCCTAAAAATCCTAACCATTCAAATTAAAAAACAGTCTAGGAAACAGTCTACCGTTCTTTTATGAGAAATCAGATAGGGGCTGGAGAGATGGCTTGGTGGTTAAGAATGCTGCTGTTTTTCCAGAAGCCCTGGGTTCCATTCTAGCACTCAACTTTGGCCAGTCCTAGAGGAGCCAACACCCTCTTTTGGTACCAAGAACACGAGTGGTGCACAGATATATGGAGGCAGAATAGTCATACATACAAATAAATAAATAAAACTAGAATCAGATAAAGGCTGATATTATCTGAAATATATTTCTGATAATAAAGACAAAGAAGTAGCAGAAGAAAACAAGAAAAACTTGGCACTATCAAAAAAGACTAGATAGTTGGTAGTTCATACCTGTAATCCCTTCAGCTGGGAAACTAAGGCAAAAGGATTGCTGTGGTTCGAGGCCAGTCTGGGACACAGAATGTACCTCTGCCTCAAAAAAAAAAAAAAAAAAAAAAAAGGATTACTTCTAAAACTGTAAAGATTACAACAGGAAGTCAGGCAAAACCCAGCACTGAGAACATAAAAGTGTGAAAGACTCAGGACTTTATAGGCATAAATTCTTTGGCTCAAGATGTATGGGTTTAAATAGATAAACCAAATCTGTTTATGTGGAAAATGAAGGATGAGAGAAAGAAAAAAGAGCCTACAAAAGTAAAATTAAATAGCAGGCTTCAGAAACAAAAGAAAATTAGCCTCAAAGGGTTATAATTTATATATATATATAATTTTATATAAAAATTTTATATATATATATAATTTTTAAAGTAACTGAGAATGTAAACAGAAAACAGGAAGAAAAAAAAAAACTGGAGATACCCGGGGGGGGGGGGGGGGGGAACACAAAAAAAAAAAAAAAAAAAAAAAAAAAAAGAAGAAGTGGGGGGGGGGGAGAGAAAACGACCCACAGAAGCATCAAGTACCAAAAATCACAGACAATACAGTTTAAACTCAAATGAACAAAAATCAGGCTTCCGGATGCAAAGACAGATTGAAGTAAGACATCCATTAAAAACAAAGATATGAAAATGCTGAAACTAAAAGAATAGAGGTATGATAGGCAGAGCTTAGATAGATATGGAGACAGAAGTCTTCAAAACAGAAAGCATTATTTAAGTGCAGTCATTACATAAAAATAAAACAAGCGTGGTGGCTCACCCCTGTAATCCCAATCACTCTGGGAAGCAGAGGCCAGCAGATCTCTGTGAGTTCCAGGCCAGCCTGGTCTACAAAGCAAATCCAGGACAGTCAAGGATACACATAGAGAAACCTTGTCTCAGAAAAACAAGAAGAAAATACTATTACTAACAATAAAGAAAAACATGCACCAGAGTACATATTTGCCTAAGCTTTATTTCTTAAAAAATTTTAGGATGAGAAATTGACCAGTCAATCATTGTAGATGAGTTCTGCCATTAAAGTCTCAGCGTGGCTTATTGATTTAGGCACAGTTAATTCTGGTATGAATAAAAACAACACTGGTATAAGGACATACAGTGAAATTTTCCTACTTGCTGGTGGAGTTCAAATGCTATTCAACCTTGCTCATTTTCCTGTAGCAACATGTTGGTTATAACAAAGGTGGCAGAATAGTTTTTAGACCTATACCTTCTTTCTTGTCCCATTTTAGAATTTAGCTTTGAGTCTGTGTTTCCTTAAGAAGTCCCTGCATTTAGGTCCTAGGTGTAAGAGCACATATAGATACTGTTAAGATTCGTATTGCCACCATTTTAGAGTCTTACACATGAACCTCACTGTTTACTTTACTTTGACCAGAGAATACATGCCAACTCTGGAGGAGTTCTTTGAAGAAGCCATTGAACAAGCAGATCCGGAAAATATGGTTGAAAGTGAATATAAGTAAGTAATGTTCTAATGAACGATGCTAATGTTCAGCATGTGTTCTTGGGAATCCTCTGTATGCTACAATTAAGTCAGCAAAGTAGTACTTTTAGGTGAGTTTATCCAGGTAGTCACATTGCTGTAACACCGTTTCAGTGACTTCCTTTTGGCTCTCCCAGCATCTCAGCCCTCATCTCACAGCTCCCTCTGTTACCTCTTTTGTTCTTCACAGCATTTGCTCCTGCTAGACATCTTAGTTTTTGTCCTTCTTCCTCACCCCCCTCCCATTCTTGTCAGTTCATGAAAGCTGTGTTCCTGTCACTCCACTCACGGGAATGGCTCCTGTAGCACTCTTGTTTTCCGCTCAACAGCATCTGTCAGTGCACCTTTCTCAGCATCTGTGGAACCACTCACACCTTGCTGCCCTCCACCTGCCTCCACATTTGTTGCCTTACTCATAATTTCTAGGCTAACATTTAAGACTCGCAATCTTTTCTCTCAAGTTTTCCATGTGACAGCACAGTTTTAGTTTTTAGCAAGATGTTCTGGAGTTACGATTTAAAAGCAAGCCCCCATGGCTGGAGAGATGGCTCAGAGGTGAAGAGCACTGTGCTCTTCCAGAGGTCCTGAGTTCAATTCCCAGCAACCACATGGTGGCTCACAACCATCTATAATGAGATCTGGTGACCTGTTCTGGCCTGCTGGCTCACATGTAGTCAGAACACTGTGTACCTAACAGGAAAAGCAAGGGCCCTCTTGTCAGATTACGTCGGTTTCCATCCCTGTGCCTCTTTGCTCATTTGCTAAGCAGTAACCACTCACTTTACTGTTATTCTGAAGATCAAATGATTCATTTTGATCCATGTATATAGCATGTAGTTAGCATACCATATAAATTACTAGTTTTGAAACCATGGTAAGTTTCTACATACCCCAACCTCTTTAACTGTGGGTTCTATTCTCCATGTACCAGAGAGTGGTCTCTAAAATAAATATGTAGGCTAGAGAAATAGCTGAGGTTAAGAGCACTGACTGCTCTTCCAGAAGACCCAGGTTTGATTCCCAGCACCCACATGGTGGCTGTAAGAACCATCTTTTAACTCTAGTTCCAGAGGACCTGACAAGTTCTGACCTTCTTTGGCCCTGTATACATGACACATGGATAACTATGCAGGCAAAACACTCACATACATTATAAAAGTCTAAAATATGTAAGGCAAATGACTAGATAGCTAACAGTTTTGGACATGGTTACACACACCTTTAATCCTAGCACTGAGAAAGCAGAAGACAGGTGGATAGTGAGTTTGAGGCCGGCCTGGTCTACAGAGTGAGACCCTGCCCAAAATAAGTACATATACACACACATATACACACATATACAAAGGGAAGTCTTCGTAGCACAGACATAGACTTCCCAGCCCTCAGGAGGCTAAAGGATTAATTTTGAAGTTAGTCTGACCTGCAGAGTAAGAGCCTATCAATAGAATAACAAAGTAAAATATGCACGAGCATATTTAAAGCCATGTTTAAAGTCCTTCTCATCTTTAAGATTAACTGTATATCCCACAATTAATGAGAGACCACTAAATAAACCAGCTTGCAAATCTTTGCATTTGGGGATTGTGCCGTGGGTAAAGAATCCTAAGCAGAATCCATTTGTAGTTCCTACAGTTTCATCGTTGGGGGGTTGGGTATTGTGATTAGGATTTCTCACAGGTCCTTGTTTATCAATTTCCCATTCTTTTTTTGGACATCAGTGTATCATTACTGTGGCTACTGGATATTTGCTCCTTTGGCATTTTGAGCTATTTTTTTATGCATTGAGGTTGACATTAAGTACTCAAAAGAGTAGCTGTTGAGAGTAAGTCAACTGTGTAGCTGTTCCACAAATACAACTCTAAATAGGAGCCTTATTCAAAGTACTCGAAGCCATTAAGTGTTTTCAGATTTCAGATTCCTTCCCCCTCCCCCCCAAATTTGGAACATTTTAGACCTCAGGAGGTAAGCATTTTAAGATGTTAGACTTTAAAACATTTCAGGTTTTGAAGATCTTTAACTTGTATTAGTTACATTACCATGTTAAACTCTTACAAAATTAATGAAATATTTAAAACTCACATCTGTAGGCAGCATTACAGATATGGATACTAAGTATTTTTTCCTTTTTCTTTTCTTCTGTATAACTGGATGAATGGCTTCTTTTTTATTTATTATTATTCATATTTTTATATTGTTTTATATAAATTTATAACATATATAAAATATATAATATATACTTTATATTATTTTTATTATTTATTTTATTGCTTGTTTGTTTATTTATTTTATGCATGTTAGTGCTCTAAGAAGGCAGTAGAGGGTATAGATGGTTGTAAGCCACCATGTGGTTGCTGCGAATTGAACTCAGGACCTCTGGAAGAGCAGACAGTGCTCTTAACTGCTGAGCCATCACTCCAGCCCCGATGAATGGTTTATAGTGTCTAGTAGCCAAGACTAGGGACCCAGACTATTGATTAACTTGCTAAAATAAAGCAAAATACACACTTTCAAAGTACAAGATGGTATACTTTGAGCTGCTATTGCAATAGAGTATAAAATTTCATGTGGCACTTGTTACATGAAAAGAACTATGGCAATGGATAACTATAACTTACAAGGCTAACATCTCTTCTTCTAGAGCTGTGAACAATTCAAATTATGGGTGGAGAGCTCTCAGACTCTTAGCACGGAGAAGTCCTCACTTCTTCCAGCCAACCAACCAGCAGTTTAAGAGCCTGCCAGAGTATCTCGAAAACATGGTAATAAAGCTAGCCAAGGAACTACCAGTAAGTGACACACTTCATTCTCTCCCCACTTCCTGGAGTAGACATTATCTATTTTTAAACTGCTATCACTGTTTGCGCAGAACTCACTTTAACTTATACCGCAAAAATAGTGACCTAGAGACCACTAGAGTGGGGGCAGGGGATTGTTGAATATACATTTACAGAGAAAATGTGAACTAAGAGTAGGAATTTTCTGTACAGTCTTATGAACATGTTAAAACTATCTGCGGTAAATCAGATCAGTTTCTCCTCTTTGCCAATGTGTTTTATTGTCTTTTGTCAAAGGCAGAGTCTAAGAGTGGGAGTACCTGGCAGAACTTTCTACTCTGCTCTTTTCCACTGTTTTCTTACAGTATGGTAATGATGAACACAGTCAATCTCTATCGCCCCTTAGACAATACTGACTAAAGCTTGTATTTTTGCAAACTGGCTTGTTCATGATTCTCAGTCTTCCTTTTACCCAAAATGAGGGGCCCTGTTGGTTGTGGGGATTTGAGGTCCATTACTGGGAATCTTATGCCTTTTAATTACATACATAAACAAAAGAATTTCCAGTTGTCTAGAAACTGGTGTTCTTTTAAACATCATTGTTTCTCATTTACTGTAGCCTCCTTCTGAAGAAATAAAAACAGGTGAGGATGAAGATGAGGAAGATAATGATGCTTTATTGAAGGAAAATGAAAGTAAGAATGGATTTTTCTTGGCTATTTTACAAAATTGGAAAAGACTGGGGTTCTCTGTTGAGAGTTATTTGATCTAATTCGATCTACTTTTCACTTTTACCATTTTATCTCAGGTCTGCTTTTGACTTATCAGAAATTAGAAAAAAATCACTAAATTAAAATATATTTATAGGATGAAATTTGGAAATGATAGTTTTAAAAGGAAAAGAAGTTATGTTTTACAGCAGAGCCTTAAACTGCTAACTCGTGGGGATTGGAGAGAATGTCTCCTCTGTGGGAAAGTCTAATTAAAACAACTTTGAGTGTCAGCTGAATTGTGGTGTTTTTCTGTTTGTTTGTTTTTAAAGGAGGTTTGAAACCTGTAGAGAATTTTAAGTTTTATAGTAAAGGCTTAAAAAGACCCAGGGGCCTCTTTAGCTTTGCAGTTCTTTCCAGTACTTAGAATTGCACGTCCCTCTATTTTTCACATAATTTATACTGTTTTCTAGGTCCTGATGTTCGGCGAGACAAACCTGTAACAGGAGAGCAGATTGAGTCATTTGCCAACAAACTTGGTGAACAATGGAAGATTCTGGCCCCTTACTTGGAAATTAAAGACTCTGAAATTAGGCAGATTGAGTGTGACAGTGAAGACATGAAGATGAGAGCCAAGCAGCTCCTCGTGGCCTGGCAAGATCAAGAAGGAGTTCATGCAACAGCTGACAACCTGATTAGTGCACTAAACAAGTCTGGATTAAGTGACCTTGCAGAAAGTCTAACTAACGACACTGAGACAAATAGTTAGCTTTCTTTGTTTCCTTTCTTTTTTATTAAACTGTGATAGATTTTGTTACCAAGCAGCATTTGATAAGAGGTCCACTGGTTTTGGTAAACAATAAACACTTTTATAACAGCTGTTGTACAGTTGGCTGGTGCTCCAAGAACCACACACAGAACAGGCATTGCCTCAGTTTTAAATATAGGAGGGTGGCGTGGGAAAAAGGCCAAAGTAAAATGACCTCAGGATTACAAACTACTTTTTGTATTTTTATAATGAAGTTAAAAACGTACGAGTATGTTCCATTCCTATCCCAAATTAGTTTCCTGTGTGCTATTAGTTATGAAATTTATTCTGAAATCCCAGGATGACATTCCTGAAGGCTTAGTACTGTTCTTTTCTCTCAAGCTGTAGAGGATCAGCAAACAGTGTCTGTTAAGTGTTTTACTGTCACTTTGCCGTATTCACATTACTAGAGTTCAAACTGACATCCAGGGGCCTGCAAAGCCTAAACTAGGTGCTGCTTGGCCAAAGCAGTGTTTGCCAGTCTCTTAACTGTACACGAAGTGGAGCCAAAGACCCAGCCACTCCTTTAGAAACTTTATAAAAGTCACTTACTCAACCCCTCAAGTCCTTAAGGACTCGGGGATTCTTGTCAGTTCAGATAAGCTGTATGTGATAGCAAGCAGACCATGTGCAGTACTGGCTAAAGTTCAGGCTGTCATCTATCTGTTCTGTTCCCATACAGCACCTCCCTGTGGGTGTGTAGGTCACTGTTGAAGGGCTGCTGGGCAGACCACGCTAAGTGCTCTTGCTTGGACCTCACTCTAGCTAGGGAAGCAATGATCAAGCCCATCTCTAGGCTCCAGATGCCTCTGTGTACATTAAGAAAAATAAGGCACGTTCAGGAATTGGAAGGAAGGGGAGTGTTCATTGCCTCGTCTTTCTTACGTTCAAGGCTGCATTCTAAAACACTTAACACCCCCTTATTTAAAACAATACTGGTGGAAATCCAATTTCTACTTTAAAGAATATCTTTGGAATGTTTTTTTAAAATCAAACTATCACCAAGCTTTTTGTAATGATAAAGTTTTTACATTTTTAATACATTCTAAACATGGTTCTTAGATATTTGTTCTAAGCCCACCTCATCTGGTTTAGTAGGAAAACTCAGGCGCTAAATTCCTTCCACAACTGTTCTAGCAAATGAGACAATAATAAGAGACTGCATCACAGGGGACATGACATAAAGCATTACAGTGCACAGAATGTTACTCCTCATGCCATGTTTCACTCCCCCACTGTGAGGGGTCTCTATTGCTAACAGCATTTAAGTTACCAGACTTACAGGAGTATCCCGGAAATGCTGATTATTCCAGTGTTACAGATTCGTTATTCACAGGAATCTCAGGTACCAGCATACTTTGCAGAGCATTGCAACGTAAGGTCTAAGATGTCATGATATTCTAACTTTATTAACCAATACTCAACTTAAAATCAGACCAATTCACTAGTATTCAATCCTTCATCCTTTTTTTAGCAATTAATCAAGGTTCCTAAAACATTTAACGATTTGAAAGTCACTGGCTAATCAGAATAGATTCATAAACTGATCATACTCAAATACTCTTGGCAATGTATACCTTAATTTTAAAAATCACTAATACTAAATTTTGAGATGGACATACAGTCTTTGGAGAAGAAAATAGAAACAACAAAATGAAACTGATCACAGAATCCAGTTTCCAAAGAAATCTGTCACTCTTACAACTTTGTATTTCTTTTCAAATAATATTGGCCAAGCTGAAAGGACACTTATATGGATGCTTGACAGCTTAAGATTATTAGCCATCTGCAGAAACTGTATAGGAATGAATTCATCTGACTCTTCAGCCAAGCTCTAACACTAAAGACAGGAGTTCAAAAGCTATTCAGCCCTCTTTTTCCTTATTTTTTTATTATTAAATATCCTCATTTTCTAAAAATAACCAACCAGAGCAGCTTTACATATATGATTACTACAAAATCCAATGTAAAGTTAAATATATAAACCACAGTACATTAGAGACACAATAAGTATATAATCAAGTGTGTTCTTATTGATCACAATTTATTGTAAAGTCATGAAAGGCCAGCAACAGTCAGTCTGGACAAATACTTGATTGCGCCAGGTGATGGGATGTGGACAGCAGCACTGAGTTACACGATGGGAGAGCAACACTTCCTTTTCCACCTTCCTAGAAAAGTATGGGTTAGATAAGGCAAAGGACAGGCAGCTACTGAACGGTGATATTAACCATGCAAGAACAAATAGGTGTGCAATAAACATCATTGCTACGTCTTGGGCTGAAAAGGCAAGGAAAAAAGGAACTTCAGCTAAGAATTTGTTGAGAATTAATGCAAAAAGTAAGATTATGAAGGATGTCTTCCAGCTACCTTTATACAGGGTAGTGCCCAAGTGTAATTTCTGTAGTCTTAGATTGATGATGCACAAGTGGCCTGGTTTTGTTCTCCCTTGTTCCCTTTAGAGCTCAAGATTATAGAAATGATCAACAACAAAAACAATTATTTCACACCTAGGCATAAATAGCTAACTTGAAGGTTACTGTTCACTTTCTTCTTCCACTATTTCAACTCTTCGAGGCCCGTAAAGTAGAACATAAGCAATGTGCCAGTCCCCACCACCTGACAGCCGCAGGATGTCTTCTGGTGTTACAATGCTGACCTTGTCATCGTCAAACTTGATCCATTCATCTAAATTAAGAAGACAGCACATAATTATTTTTAGCGTTCTTACGTAGAAGGAACTGGTTTGATGTGCAACAGTATTCAACCCAACTATGACAGCTCTCTTGTAAGTATGGCCTATGGCCATGCAAGTGTGAGATGATTTCAAGAGTTCCATGCCATCCCAGCTATCTCAATACTACTTCTAATGTACGATCTGCCAATCCGCCCTCACTGTTTCCAGTATACTCTGCAGTTCTCCAGACCTTCATGATGTGTGCCAATGCAGGCCTAGACACAGACACACAAAGGAACTAGGGATGTACCTCAGTTGCAGAGCAGGTGCTCAGCATATACAAGGTATCTTTGGTGTGATCCCAGTATCAAAAAGAAGAAAAGGAAAAAGCCCACCTCAAACACAAAAATCCAGCCATACAATAAGATACAGCTAAACAACAGGAAGACAAGGCGTAAATCCATACCACTTTATGACTTTTTTGCTTTGGAAACTCATTTTTAAGCTAACGTTCTCAGCTGTAATTGCTGGAATTGTAAATCTGGATATAAAGGATAAACACAGCTCGAGGGCTGGAAGAACACAGAGAAGGGACTGTGGAGTTTATTCAGTGAGTGGAGTAGTTGTTGCGCAAAAGAGAACCGAAGCTTTGATCCCCAGGCAAAAGCTGTGCGTGGTGGTCTCCTGTCCTGTCCCTCGTGCTGAGGGGCTGAAGAAAGACGCAGCTGCCTGGCTCCCTGACTGGCCGGCCAGTCTAGCTCAATCTTGCTCTAGGCTCAGTGAGAAACCGTCAAGAAAGTGGTAAAGGAAGACACCAAACATGGACCTCTGGCTATTCACACATGCATACTCTTGTGCGCACGCATCCCTGCGGACAGACTACAGGCAATTCTTTTTCATTTTTAAAAGGCATGAGCAAGTTCACAAGCATAAACATCCACAATGCTATTAAGTTTTCAATAACCAAGTAGCAGTTAACAATTGAATGATACTTTTACCTTGTTTCCTTTTCACCCATGATACATAATGACCTGACGAGCTAGATCTTCCCTGGTGAGTTAGCACTGCTTGTAAGTCATAGTATCCACAATTATTGGAGCCGATATCTGAGAGGAATCAGATGAGACAACAGCAAACAGACATGTGCTTTCTCAGACAAAGTAACAATCACGTTAACACTGGAGAAGTAAATACTGCTCTACTGGACATTACATATGGTGCAGAGCTACAGTTAGGTCCATTTCCCATACCAGTACATCCAAAAGTACCACTTTATTTAAGTTACATTACGAAAAATTATTTTTTTGTTTTTTTTTTTTTGAGACAGGGTTTCTCTGTGTAGTCTTGGCTGTCCTGGACTCACTTTGTAGACCAGACTGGCCTCGAACTCACAGAGATCCGCCTGTCTCTGCCTCCCTGAGTAGCTGGGATTACAGGCGTGTGCCACCAGGCCCAGCAAGAAAATTATTTTTCAAGAAGCCTCAATTTAGGCCAGCCATGGCGGCTTATGTCTGTCATACCAACACTTGGGAAGCTAAGGCAGGTAAACAAAAATAACCTTGAGACCACCCTTAGCTACATGGTGAAATGCAGGCCATCATGGACTACAGAGTGAGCCTTTCTCAAAACAAACAAATAAATAAATAATTAAAAAAAATCATGATGTCTGATTAAAGAGATAAATGGTAGAATACGTACTCTAACTGAAATGTGTACAAATGAGACCTCTGCTTACCATCAGCAAATGAGAAGGGCTCATACTTCACCTCTTTAGGGGGACTATTCTTGTCATTCTAGGAGAAAAAATAAATTTTAAATTGTGATTTCAGAGACGAATACTTTCTGGTTGAATAATCTTATAAATATTTCCACTGTCTACAAATCACTGAATATAGACAATATAATGGTCTGCCTTGCAAAATAAGCAATAAACTACACTTACAAAAACTGCAAAGCCAAAGGCTCTACTCTTTAATACTATGCAATATTACCGCAATATAGTAACATGTTCCCTGGATATATGGCTAATGTTAAGCCACTAACTAAAATTCTAATATACCAGAGAATCTAGCAGTGAGGTTAATGGTATTCCAGGACACTAAACGAAACAATTCCTTAACTTTCTCAAAATGCTATTAACCGAACTTGTATGGAAATAATCAGTGTCTGTGAACCTGTAGGGGCAGAGACTACCACAAACAAACAAACAAACACACACCCAAAAAGCTAAGTCACATTATAACTATCAGTAAAGAAATGGGCTAGATTTGCCCTACAGATGTGAAACAGTTAATAACACCAGGAACAATTACGTACACAAATGTGACCTGCTAAATGAAATTAGTCAATTATGTAAGAACAAAAACAAATACATTCTGAAACAGATCTCATG